GTCGTCTCGACGTCAAAAGACTCGGGTGTGTGGCGATGGCTGGTGACTTGTTTGGACGAGTCAGCTCGCTGTTGGCGCTTGGATGAATAGTTGAAGGCCAAACGTGCAATTCGATGCAAGAAGCGGGTGGTAGAGGATAGTGCAAGTGCATGCAAATGTGCTGTATGTGAATGCGTGACTATATCGCGCGTGGGGGCGTCATAAATTTGTGTGGAAGGTGGAGGTTAGGTTATCGATTTGCTGAGCGCAGTGGTAGCGCGTCCGCTTTGCAAGCGGAAGGCCCCGGGTTCAATCCCCGGTGTGTCCAACGATTTGTTCGACTCACCTCCACTCGCACGCTGTGCTGGGGCGCCTACGACAACACCGCGCCATTATGCTTCTCCGCGAGGCAAACCATACATCTGGCTCTGTTTCCAACAGCTGCGCAGGACTACTGGTTAGGGCTGCTTAGCCTACCTCGTAGCCCGACTCATTGCGGGACAAGCTCGCTTTACGGCGTAGTCAAACAGCAGACTCCCCTCAACCGTCGACTGAAGCCAGCGGCACAATCGTCGATCTGTCGAGTTCGTCCTACCACCCCGCCGGTTTTGCCGTTTGTGTGTTGGTGTAGTCTCGACGTCAAAAGACTCGGGTGTGTGGCGATGGCTGGTGACTTGTTTGGACGAGTCAGCTCGCTGTTGGCGCTTGGATGAACAGTTGAAGGCCAAACGTGCAATTCGATGCAAGAAGCGGGTGGTAGAGGATAGTGCAAGTGCATGCGAATGTGCTATATGTGAATGCGTGACTATATCGCGCGTGGGGCGTCATAAATTCGTGTGGAAGGTGGAGGTTAGGTTATCGATTTGCTGGGCGCATAGCGCAGTGGTAGCGCGTCCGCTTTGCAAGCGGAAGGCCCCGGGTTCAATCCCCGGTGTGTCCAACTCTTTGTTCGACTCACCTCCACTCGCACGCTGTGCTGGGGCGCCTACGACAACACCGCGCCATTATGCTTCTCCGCGAGACAAACCATACATCTGGCTCTGTTTCCAACAGCTGCGCATGACTGGTAAAGACTGGCTAGTCTACCTCGTAGCCCGACTCATTGCGGGACAAGCTCGCTTTACGGCGTAGTCAAACAGCAGACACCCCTCAACCGTCGACTGAAGCCAGCGGCACAATCGTCGGTCTGTCGAGTTCGTCCTACCACCACGCCGGCTTTGCCGTTTGTGTGTGTGGTGTCGTCTCGACGTCAAAAGACTCGGCTGTGTGGCGATGGCTGGTGACTTGTTTGGACGAGTCAGCTCGCTGTTGGCGCTTGGATGAATAGATGAAAGGCCAAACGTGCAATTCGATGCATGAAGCGGGTGGTAGAGGATAGTGCAAGTGCATGCAAATGTGCTGTATGTGAATGCGTGACTATATCGCGCGTGGGGGCGTCATAAATTCGTGTGGAAGGTGGAGGTTAGGTTATCGATTTGCTGGGCGCATAGCGCAGTGGTAGCGCGTCCGCTTTGCAAGCGGAAGGCCCCGGGTTCAATCCCCGGTGTGTCCAACTCTTTGTTCGACTCACCTCCACTTGCACGCTGTGCTGGAGCGCCTACGACAACACCGCGCCATTATGCTTCTCCGCGAGGCAAACCATACATCTGGCTCTGTTTCCAACAGCTGCGCAGGACTACTGGTTAGGGCTGCTTAGCCTACCTCGTAGCCCGACTCATTGCGGGACAAGCTCGCTTTACGGCGTAGTCAAACAGCAGACACCCCTCAACCGTCGACTGAAGCCAGCGGCACAATCGTCGATCTGTCGAGTTCGTCCTACCACCACGCCGGTTTTGCCGTTTGTGTGTTGGTGTAGTCTCGACGTCAAAAGACTCGGGTGTGTGGCGATGGCTGGTGACTTGTTTGGACGAGTCAGCTCGCTGTTGGCGCTTGGGATGAATAGTTGAAGGCCAACCGTGCAATTCGATGCAAGAAGCGGGGTGGTAGAGGATAGTGCAAGTGCATGCAAATGTGCTGTATGTGAATGCGTGACTATATCGCGCGTGGGGGCGTCATAAATTCGTGTCAAAGGTGGAGGTTAGGTTATCGATTTGCTGGGCGCATAGCGCAGTGGTAGCGCGTCCGCTTTGCAAGCGGAAGGCCCCGGGTTCAATCCCCGGTGTGTCCAACTCTTTGTTCGACTCACCTCCACTTGCACGCTGTGCTGGGGCGCCTACGACAACACCGCGCCATTATGCTTCTCCGCGAGGCAAACCATACATCTGGCTCTGTTTCCAACAGCTGCGCAGGACTACTGGTTAGGGCTGCTTAGCCTACCTCGTAGCCCGACTCATTGCGGGACAAGCTCGCTTTACGGCGTAGTCAAACAGCAGACACCCCTCCACCGTCGACTGAAGCCAGCGGAACAATCGTCGATCTGTCGAGTTCGTCCTACCACCACGCCGGTTTTGCCGTTTGTGTGTTGGTGTCGTCTCGACGTCAAAAGACTCGGGTGTGTGGCGATGGCTGGTGACTTGTTTGGACGAGTCAGCTCGCTGTTGGCGCTTGGATGAATAGTTGAAGGCCAAACGTGCAATTCGATGCAAGAAGCGGGTGGTAGAGGATAGTGCAAGTGCATGCAAATGTGCTGTATGTGAATGCGTGACTATATCGCGCGTGGGAGCGTCACAAATTTGTGTCAAATGTGGAGGTTAGGTTATCGATTTGCTGGGCGCATAGCGCAGTGGTAGCGCGTCCG